TCCAACTGCTGATTCACCAGCCTGATATGCTAGCTGTTGGATTCCCTGTCTAGGCTCAGGCTGCTGGACCTGTCAGATCAAGGACGTTCCTGCTACATGGAGCTCACCTGACTGGACCCTCCAAGCTTCCCTTCTGTTGAACAGACACACCCTGCCCTCCACTGCTTTGGATCTTTGCTCACAAGGTCTTCTCTGATCCCTCTATAAGAAAGTTCTGGCCGGACAGTGATGGTGCACGCCTTTAATCCCAGCACTTGTGGGAGGCAGAAGCAGGTGGATCTCTGTGAGTTTGAGGCCAGCCTGATCTACAGAATGAGTTAGAGGACAGCCAGAACAGTTTTCCACAGAGAAACTCTGTCTTGAAAAACCAAAGTGAAAAAAAAAAAAAAAGAAAGTTCTGTATCATTTGCCATCTGCTTTGTTTCCCACAGCTCATTGGTCTCTACATCTGCTTGTTTACTTGATTAGAATCTGACCACCTAGAAAGATGAGTTCCTTGAGGCAGGGCTTCTTGTTTTACCAAACAAAAGGCACTCTTGGTACCCTCAGAGCAGCTGAGGGTAACACCTGATGAATAGGCTAGGAGTGGCTGAGGGAAAGCCTACTGGACCCTCTTATATAGCCCATTTCTTCCTTTCCTGCTGTCTGTCATATCCTTCAAACCTGAACTGGGCTTCCAGGAAGCAAGGAGATAGCACTTACATGGCAGAAGGTGTACTCAGCCACCTGATTGAAGATCTTTAGCAAGGTAGGGTCCCCACTGTCACTGTAACCCATGAGGAAGGCAATCATGGCTTCACAGTGTGGCCACCACAGCTTCATGTCCCACTCCAGCTGAGAAGAGAGCAGAGATAGGCAGCTAAGGTCCTTGTTGACTTTAGGACACTCATATCCTCTGTTCTGACTCAGTCTGTCTGGCTCAGGACTTGGTTCTTAATCATGAGACATGGGGGATAGAGTTAGATTAGTCCTTAAGAGTAGAGCTAGCCTTCTGACCTGAATGTACCCCAAGCAGCTCCTTAAAAGGACAAGTACTGGGACAGACTCCCTTTATCCCTTAAGGTGGAATGCTGTCTGCCTTGTCATGTCATCTTTAAGCCTCTCGGACATTGCTGCTACCCATGGCTGGTAGCGTACCCTCAGCAGATCTCCAGCAGGATCAGGACACAACTGATCAGAAGAACAATTTCACTCCTGTCTGCCACCAAGTGGGAAAGTGAGAATCACCCAAGAACCCTTCAAGCCACTGGCACCAGACTAAGGGGATGTGTGTCTTGGTGTCAGCATTTGCATACTCTCTCTTCTCCAAGGTATTTCACAGGATATACGATGGGGGAAAACTGGACTCTGGGTTCAATTTTTTTTGTTGTTGTTATTGCATTTTGAGACAGGATCTACCTTGTCCTGGCAGTCCTGAACCTCACTATGTAGACCAGGCTGGACCTGAGCTCACAGAGATCCTTCTGATCTGGCCCCCACGTGCCAGGGAAAGGCATATGCAACCACTCCGGGCTCGGAGTTCCATCATCACACGCCAGGCTTCCAGCAAGTTGCTCTGGGAATTCTTACCCTGTGGGGGACCCAATTATCAACATCCCGGAAGCTGTAGAACCCTCCGTGCTCAGCATCCCATCCAGAGTGGAAAGGCAACAAGAGAAACTTGTCAATGACTTGATCTCGAAGTTGGGTGTCACCTTCCCTTTGGGCATCCTGGAGTAGGTACCGGCCAGCTTCAATTGCCTGGCCTAGTGAGGGTTGAAAGAAAGTAACTGTAGGGGTCAGAATCCCTCTCCCAAGCATCTGAGGGTTTTAGTTCCTGGAACCTCCCTTCCTCCTCAAGGGTGAAAGACGCTTGAACTCTGTCACAGGACACCCTGCCTTTCTGCCCGGACCCCATTCCCTACAAAATAAAATATTCCCCCAAACAGAGATAATTAAGTTCCTGCAACCAATGCCCAGTCCTGGGCAGACTTTCCCCTTCTTCTGCCTGATCCTTGGTGGAGGGAGGAGGGCAGCTCCCTCCCTTATGAGACCCCAAACTGAAAGCTGAGTTCTTTTTCCTGATGAGCACCTGGGTTCTGTTCTCTTCCGAAGGCACCAGGAAGTCCTTGGCCATCCTCTGATATATTATCTAGCACAGCTTTCCATTCCTCTGCCAAGAAAGAGACAAAAGACAAATGTTTCCAGTTTTCTCTCATCCAATCAGAAAGATCTAACTTCAAAAATCCCTACTGCCAGGCATGGTGGCCCATACCTTTAATTCCAGCACTGGAGAGGCAGGGGTAGTTGTATCTCTGTGTGTTCAAGGACAGCCTGGTATACATAATGAGTTCCAGGAATGCAAAGACTGTTACACAGAGTCCTTTCTTGGAAAACCAAAAGGAAAAAAAAAAAGTCCTTCCTCATGTTTTTATACTCAGTAAGCCCAAAGGGAGCTTTTTTGGTTGTTGTATGTTTTGAAACCCCAGGCTTGAGAAAGCCCAGGCTAGTCTCAAACTCACTATACATACAAGGCTGACCTTGAACTCTAGATTTTCCTGCTTCTACCTCTGGAGTTCTAGAATTACAGAAGAACATTTTTGGAATGACTGACTGTATCCCATGGGCCTATAGGTTCTGATCCTTGCTTTAGGTCTGGATCTCTCAAGCAGAGAGGGTAAAGCACTAAATGAGGAGGTAAGGCAGAGTTGGATGCCCACAGAGGCTGGGGAGGAGCATAGATCACGGTCTCAGGATGTGCCTGGGGCTCTGGTCTCTTTCTGCCTTAGGACCCACCCATCTCCGCCCCAGCATACCATGCTCCACCTTTCTGAGGGCCCTGGTCTGTATTTCAAGTGAATGTCCTTCCTTAGATCCACCAGTCTAAAAAGCTAAAGAACATATTTCAGGTAAAGGGCCCCCTGTAGAGTGGGTGTCTCTCTCTCTCTCTGTGCCTACCTGGAGGTGCTTTAGAATCCTTTGGACACCCCAGTCCTCTAGTTCTGCATACTTCTTGGACATTTCCTCATCTTCCTCCTGAAGCTGATCCACCAGGTGGAGCAGCATCGTGGGCACTGCCAAGTCCTCTGCCTTATGGGTTCGTGAGAACCTAGTCCAGCTTAGCTCACTTGAGTCCACCCGCACCCAGTAGACGATCCGGTCCAGCATCTCCACAGCTTCATTCTGTGAGGAGACCGGGCAGAGTCTGTATGCCTTGTCCCATTTCTCTCCCCTAGGAAGGACTCAGTACTTAGCTTGCTCTTCAAGGACACCTGCTCTTTCTGCAGCTTTCCAGGGCAAAAGCCCTCGAGCCAAGCCATGAATGGCCAAGTGGATCCACCCAGCATTGCTTGCGGGGTGAGATGGGGAACTCTGGGACTTAGTTCACTTTCAGGCAGAAGGGCCCTGGGAGGAAAGAGGGGACCTCTTCTACCTGGAAACAGGGCACTGATAGGTGGTACAGGAATTGGGAGAGAGCTGAGGAGTGAAGGTGGTCACAAAATGATAGGACAGGAGGAAACGGGACTTGTGACAGGCTCCCAGGCCTGTCTTCAGAGTGCACTCATGCCCAACAGCCTGTGGTCATCCCCCACACACACACCTGATAACGTGTTTCCTCTGTCACTCTCCAACGCTCATTCATGGCCAAGGTGTAGTAACTCTCGCTGAAAAGGGTCCGCTGCACCTTCACTGGAGTGCCGTCCTTAGTCACCGAAAAGGCACACTTCTTGGCAGGCGGTTCCACCCGAGCAAAACGAATCAAAAACTCACCACCTAAGTATACATGGTAAGTGAGGGCTCGGAATATACTGCCTCTTGGAACATATTCAGTCCCTTTCCTTTTCCAGGCCGCTTTGGATCCCCTGAATAAATGACCCGCTGAAGCTCCCGAGGAGGTCGCGGGGATAGGAGAGGGTACCTGGTTTTGCTGCACCCAGAAGCTCAGCGCGGCGAAAGCGCTCAACAGTGCGGTACAAGCGACAATACATCCCTACCTGTGAGGGAACACAGTTTAAATAGGAGCATCTGGGAAAAGGGGGATCCTAAGTATCCCTGGCCATATCCAATCGTGTGACAGTCTTAAGTGTGAAAACTGACCTGCTTCCCCAGTGGCAGGAGATATTTGAGTTCATCATAGAGCTTCCCATTGCGGGAAAGGCATGAGAAGGAGCCCCTGTGAGACATGTAGGGTTAGAAAAAGAGGGAAGGAAACTTTCACCTTTTCCACAGCTTCATTACTCTCCTGAAGCCAGTAGATCTGTGAGGCCTCAGAGTGAAGTAGGGGTTTGGGAGGGGCAAAAGCCACAAGGCATCATTGAGGGGTAGCCAACCCGTATTCCTGGTCATGGGAGTAATCCGTCCAGAAAGAGATCACAGTATCCAGCTCCTTTGCCATGTGGTCCTTCCAGGCCTGATGTAGTGGGTAGCCATTCCAGCTTGGATCTGGAAGTTCCAACCCCCATTGAGACTCTGGCAACTGTCACGCCTACGAGGCGGGGCCAGGGGAGGCATGGAAAGACCCAGACCTGGATGGGTGAGCGTGCTCTCTTGGTTCCTGGACCCTGGACGCTGGAGGTAGACAGAGCAGAGTTCTCCAGAGAACACCACCGGACTGCGCATGCCTTTCCCAAACCCTGTAAACTATCCCTTCACTTGTAAGTTACTTCACAAAATAAACCTCCCTTTTAACTACGTGGAGTGGCCTTAATACTTCCACCAATACCTGCAGTGTCTCCCATTGGTTCTCCATGTCCTGTGAAGTGATTCAGGTCAGGGCATGGGAGCACAGCTCTTCACAGGGACTTCCTGAACCAGCTCAAGTGGACCCCAGAACTGCTTGGTCATACCGCACCCCAATAGGGCCTTGAGTCAAGGATCCCTCTCACCTCTGTGATGGGCTTCTAAACCCCACCGTTAGCCGGGACCCTCTAGAACAGCACCTCCCCTGCCAACACTACCAATGACCGGTAACACTGGGTCCATTAAACATTCCCCTCCAGGTAACTGCTGTTGGTTCCCAGCCTGTCATATCACTTAGCTTATGGAGCAGCACCAAATTGCTTGTACCAGACAAGTACATAGGAATTTCATTGACAGGTTTGAAAACTCCAAAGGTCATTTCATTCCTCTTCTTGGGAGCTATTGTGCTATGTGACACTGCTTCTCCGAGCTTGTATCCACAATAGGTGAAATATAGACCCAGTTAGAGTGGTAATGGGAGTCAAGATATCAGGAGGCAACAGGAAACTGAGGGGGGAGGTTAGATGATGCCTCCTTTGCTGTGCAGAAGTTACCCACCACACCCTGAAGAAAGGAAGCCGTCAGCTAAGAACTTACAAAGCTCATTTTGCCAGAATCCAGAGGTCTAATAGTTTAAGGCTGTAAAGTCAGCCTAACTGAATTTCTCTAACTCACATTCAATCTTCCAGCCTGACCGGGGGCCAACAACACTAACGGGTAAGCGACTTCAGTGCCAACAGGAGATGAAGGCGCTAAGGCTTCATGAATTCTAGTGGTGTGAAGGGTGAGTCATCAGGCCACCAGCAAAGCCTAGGTGGTTCATCACACTCCAGCTAGAAAGCCACCTTCTCAGTCTGCCTTTCCCTCAGGTTACCAGAGCCATGGCTGCCTGAGTGAGCAGCAAGCCACCCAAGCTGAATAGAGAGGCGGGAGGGAAGGAGGGCGTGAGCAGGCAGTTGAGGCCAAAGAGGCTCCCAGCAGCAGGGCCTGGGCTCCCTCCTCCACCTCTTTCAGGTGGTATCTGAGGGTCAGCAGTGGACATTCAAGGGTCTCTGCAGTAAACCAGGCCTGAAGCACCCTCTCACCTTTTACTTGTGCCTCATACTCAGCCAGCAGGACCCGTTCCCTCCGAAGTTTCCCAAGTGCCACCATGGCTGAGGGCTGAGTCACATCATTCCCACACTGCAGTGGTAAGGTCAGATCACAGGAGCGGCAGGGTGACCTAGAACCAGTGCTGCCCACTGCCTGGGTGGGCCTCATAAGGACGAAGCATCCCTTCCAATACACATGACTCTTGAGGAAGGCTGTCTCCCTCCTTCCTCTGCTCCTTTACCTTGATAACCTTGAGTCTAAAGACTCAGCATCAAGCAGCCAATGTAAGAGAGCTCCAACATGCTTGAGACCACCTACTGCTGCTCCTCACTCACCAGATGCAGAAAGCTATCTGTGGTCCCCAGTGTCAGACCATACCCCTGTAGCCACTTGCCGCAGATCAGCCTCAGATGTTTCGAGGTTCTAGAAGAGCAGGGATGTCTGGCAGCCATAAGAAAAGACTGGGACACAGGAGTTGGTCCAAGTTGATGGTCTTGTCAGATCTGGAGATGTGTGTATTCTCTGCCTTCTTCTAATCTGACTCAACACAGTCTTTTATTGTAATAATACAAGGAAATAGGGGATTAGAAAATTCAACAGGTGACTGAGTTCTTCAAAATAGTTTCAAAAGTCCCTTTGTAAATCAGCCAAGTGTACCCCTGCCCCTTGATTACACATATAAGTTTCCAGGCAGAAAGCCAAAGCATACCGGCTTATGCTTTTGCAGGTTAATAATTATCAGAACATCTGAGATTATCACCCCAGTTTTCTTAGAAAGCATAGAAATACAAGCAATGGCCCAAAGTACCAGACTGCCAGCTTCCTCTCAGCCTAAGTCCTTCTTCATCTCTCTGTAATTCGTCAAGATGTCTTCTAACTAGTTCTGGACAACTCCTGTCTTCTATCCTATCTGTATGTCACTCCATCCACAGTTTTCTCCCACCAGCCTTCTAGGTTTTTCCCATGACCTGCAGGACAGTTCTAACTCCTGCCACTGTCACAATCTCAATATCATTTCTAATGTCATGGAAGCCACCACAGGAGAGAGAAAGAAAATCATAAAGAGCAAATGGAGTAGGAGGATTACAAGAACCAGTGACAGTTGGATGGGTGAGAACATGACATGCACATGCCATAAAGTCTGCCCTCCAGACACAAGGGTTGTTTTCTCCCTGGCCAGCAGAAGGCAGGGGTGGTGGTATTGTGTTCCCGAAAATATTATGTACCTTAATAAACTTATCTGGGGTCAGAGAACAGAAAAGCCACTAGTTTGGCAGTGATAGCACACGCCTTTAATCCTAGCATTCCAGAGGTAGAAATCTCTCTGGATCTCTGTGAGTTCAAGGCCACATTGGAAACAGCCAAGCATGGTGACACACGCCTTTAATCCCAGAAAGCCAGCCTTTAATCCCAGAGAGTGGTGGTAGAAAGCAGAAAGATATGCAAGGTGTGAGGACCAGAAACTAGAAGCATTTGGCTGGTTAAGCATTTGGCTGGTTAAGCATTTGGCTGGTTAAGCT